TTGGGCTCTTTGTAATTATTAGTGTGTCATTATCTATTTATTGACATAAACCCAAATATAATGCTAGATTAAAACAGATTGTTTTGATTTTTTATTAGCTTTTTTCTTGTAATATAATTTTTTTTTTTGCTAGTGTGCTCTTTTTTAAATTTTTTCCCAAATTTTATTTATGAATTTTTTAATTTTTTTGGCTGTGTTTTTGTAAGTTTGAAAAGGAATCCCTTACTGTATTTTATAAAAAGTGATAGTATATTTCCCTTTAAAAAGGAAAATTTTACAGTTATTTAAGTGAAGCCTCAAAAACTGTTAATTTGTGTGTTTTTTTTCGCTGCGTTGGGGGTGGACAGCTTAAAAATTTAAAAAGTTTTTTTTATAGCCAAAGCTTTTAAAATATGACTTTTATAAAAATGAACATTTTTCACGGCATCAACATTTTAAAATTAAGTGCTCATTGGTCAAAATTTAATGTTGATGTTTTTAAAATTTCTTAGCTTTATTTCTATAGCACAAATTTTTCAATGCCTTAATGCTGTACAAATTTTCAAAGGGGAATTTGAAACTTTGAAAACTTTGTCCCTCGTGTTCCATTAGTCAAGCTGTCTCCTACACCATGGGGTGAAATTTTAAAATTTGGGGGTTGGGAAATTGGAATTTTGGTAGGGGATTGTAATACAGTAATTTTCCCTCTGCCAGTCTTTTTTTTCATCATGCAAATTTTCCCCTTTCCCACGGGAAAAATTTGTATTTTTCCTAAATTAGGGCCAAAAGGATGTGGGACAGTTAATCTTCATATTGGGAAAAGATTTAAAGATCAAGAAAGAAAAAATGTTTAAAGGATTTATATTCAATGCATAAATTGAATAAAAAATTTTTTTTCACATTCAGTAAATTTTTTTAAAAATATGCAGATCATCACAATGCTCCTCAACTGTGTTGGTCAGCATTTTCATTCATGTGTAGTTCCTTTTTTGTTGACACAGATTTAATATTTCCCTAGGGTAAAATTTTTTTAGTACGTAAATGTCAATTAACTGGATTTTTTTAAAACATTTTTTTTCTATTAAACTTTGCAAACCTTTCAGCATATTTTCAATGAAACACCCCGTAAAATTCAATTAACATGGTTTCCACCCCGGGGGGGGGGGGGGAAAAATTGGGGGTGCTGCAAGCTGAACTACGGGGCTTTTGGGGAAGGCCCCCCTGGGGTCAGGAAATTGTCTTTAGGGGGGGGCCCAGCTTTTCCCCCCCTTCCCACCTCTCATGTCTCTTGGTCCCTAAAAACATTTCCCATATTATTTTTCCCGATCTGTGTTTTTGATTAAAAAAGGGTTTATTCCCGCATACCAGTTTTAAAACAAGCAGTGGGTTTTCCCTATCTTCCCTCGTCTTTGCTTGAATGTAAACTTGCTGGAGGGCAATGTTTATAAAAGTATATGATTTAAGGGGGGACACGAACTCCCCCCGGAGAGGGGGCTCTTTCCCAGTATTTATATACCCTTTGCTTATCTTTCTTTGTATAATAAAGGTTAAAGATGATGTATGTGTATACAGCACCTACTTCATATATATCTGTCCATCAGTTTAGTTGGTACACTTGTATATTGTAGTAAAGAAATTGAAATGTGTATGAGGGTGGGTGGTGGTGGTGTTAAGGGCTAACAGTTTGTGGGCAGCCCACCCACCCTTCTTATACAGTGGACCCTCGTTTTTCGTAATTAATCCGTTCCAGAGAGTGTGACTATTATCAAAATTGACGATTTGCGAGTCCACTTTCCCCATAAGAAATAATGTAAATCCAATTAATTCGTTCCAGACATCCAGAAGTATCAACAAACTTTTTTTTACCTTAAAGATAGATTTACATGCACAAAAGAATGAACATTCAACATGACAGTTACCTTTATTGAAGGCTGTTGTTGATGAATGGAAGACAGGGAGGAGGAGAGAGGAAAGAGAGGTTATTGTTTGGAAGGGAATCTCCCTCCATAAGGCTCTAGGTCACTTTAAGGGTCACTTCCCAAGCTTAAATATAGATTTTACATGCAGAAAAGAATGCCAAATAAATGTAAAGCACTAATAAAATGCATAAATGAACATTTAACATCACACTTACCTTTTGAAGACTCTTGTGGTGTATGGCAGACAGGACAGAGGGAGGGGAGGCGAGTTTATTGTTGGAGAATATGACACTAATATCAACTCTACGGCTTATTTATCTATCACAATTCAACTAATATGACATAATAAACGATATCAATAACATAGAAACATGGAATATACTCTAGAATGAATAAAATAAGTCATTATGTATGAAGCAAGAGGTGTTGTGTTGTTGTTGTTGGGTGAATAAGGGCCACTGAGAGCATAAGCCATCCATAATGGTGGTGAAGCAGCAGCTGAGGTGGCAGTGTTTTCTGTAGCCCTATATAACTCCAACAACATTGGAGGAGTTAGTAGAATCGCTGAATCACTGAAGAAGGCACCCTCTACCACTATCACAACTGCTACTACCATCACTACCACCCTCTACCACTATCACAACTGCTACCACTCTACCACCACCACTTTCGTATTTTTCTTCAAGCTTTTTTTAAATTATATGTGTTTCTCACATTCTTTACCAAAGGCTGGCAATAGAAGCTTTCTTTGGAGCCATGGTGACTTATTTAGCAATTGCAAGCGCTAAAACGAATGGAATACTATTATGAAATGTATCGTATGAACTTGTGGGATCATCCTCACTCACTGATAACCAATGACACACTGGATGGGAATGGAGTGTGAGGCGGCTCGGGGCTGTGTGTACACATCCCAGACGAATGACTATTTTGCGAGTCAAACGACGATTCACGAGTCAGTGTTTTGATGAAAAAAAGTTACGATTTCTGAAAATTACGACTTTCGAGCCTTACAAAATGAGGGTCCACTGTACTGATATTTTATTGTTGAAAATGCAAGGGAAATGAGTACAGTGGACCCCGCGTTAACGATATTTTTTCACTCCAGAAGTATGTTCAGGTGCCAGTACTGACCGAATTTGTTCCCATAAGGAATATTGTGAAGTACATTAGTCCGTTTCAGACCCGCAAACATACACGTACAAACGCACTTACATAATTGGTCGCATTCGGAGGTGATCGTTATGCGGGGGTCCACTGTATTTTATTATATTCCTTTATTGTAGTGTATGCATGCCTCTGGCAAGACAGTAATGGAGTGAATGATAAAGGAAGTTTTTCTTTTTCAGGCCACCCTGCCTTGGTGGGAAATGGCTGATGTGTTAATAAAAAAAATAATTCCTTTATTGTAATAAATTTATTAATATGTACTAAATAGTTTTATTTTGCAAAAGCATTCTGGTAGTTAATTTCACAGTAGTGAGATGGACACAACAGCCCTGGGGCTGATACAATTCTTGACCCAGCAATAACAACAACATGCCTATAACCTTGAAGCTTTTCTCGTGATTTTATAAATTTTCTTACGTTTTCTTGGATAGCTTGCATCTATATAATGGTGGGTATTACACCTGGACACATTTATTTAGTAAAAAATTGTGTCTTAGCTGGTAAAATATATTTTTTACTGATATTTGCATGTGATTACTGATAGGTGATAGCCTGTCATATTTTGCACAATATTGTATAGGGTCACATCAACACTCCCCACACATTTCAACATCAACAAGCAATGACAACTACAGTGAATATGTTCTGGGGCCTAGAGTCACTGATGATGCCTTACCATCAGCTGTATAAAAATATTCCAGGGTAATAAAACCAAAGACACATTACAGAATTCCTCAATACTCCAGTACAGCTGTTGACCTAGTGCCAAAGCCTCAATCATCCACCTCGACAAACATTCCACCACCTTCCACCTCAGCCCAGTAGGGCCACAGCATCCCAAGGACCCCAGTGGAAATTAATAACTTTATCTGACTTTTCGGTTATTCTAAATATTTTAACTATAATAATTACACTTATGTGTACCTTGCCTAAATAAACTTACTTATCCCCCTCCACTGTTCAGAATCATTGGCATATACCAGCAACTACAATATAAGGTAAAAAATATGATTTCTGTAACATTTGTAGCCGTAAGCAATGCATTAAACATAATACATCTTGACAATGGACTACAATTAGTTTGTTGCTTTTATTTTTTTATGATTTGGAGATCTAAAACAAAAAAAAATGCCATTTTTGGGGTCCAAGGAATGTAACCCTATTTTTCCCATAAGTTCTTCAGTTTGTTTTACACGATTTTGTCTGCACACAATTTTCACGAACGTATCTACCTTGTTAATCGATGGTCTACTGTATTTTAATTATTAATCAAATGAAATTATCATGATATTCAGTAGTATATTCATTGATTGCTCAAATGATGATATTAATTTTTTCCTTAAACTTCTTTTGTTAAAGAGTAAATTGTTTTGCACACATAACAGTCATTGAGCAATGAATATAACATTAAATAAAATTATTTATCATTTGAACATATTCTGTATTCAAAAGTGAATATAGTTTAAAAGTAAATTAAAGTTTCACAAATAGCTGCCCAGTAAACCAGTGGTTTATAATATATTATTGCAATTACATGTAAACTAAATTACTGGTGGATAGTAAATTTTAAGAATTGTCTCTGCAGTGTATGTAGTGTACTGTAGATGAAACATATCAGTGTTAAATAAATAAAATTTTGGATTGTTTAGTACTAACTTTGTATTAAGTTATGAGTGCTAGTTATAATGTGGCAGAAATACAAAAAATATAAAACACCTCAATCATTTTTTTTAATATATATATAATTATATCATGTCAGCTAGTAGTTAGGTTCTGTTACATTATCCAGTGTAATGGAAAGAAGGCAAAATTTAATTATCCAAAGATTTGGCTTAGTAATTTAATTCAATGTAATATATATTTTTTAAATAATTGGAAGTTTTAAGATTAACCAAAGAAGAATTTTAATGCATTGTTGTAATTTTTTCACAGAGAGCAACAAATGGGGAGGGGAAAGTGTAAACCCAAGCCAGGCTGGTGGGCTGAATGTGTCACCCAGAGTAAGTCTCTCTCTGCTGCTTCTTAATCTTTACGTGTATGGTATAAAGGTTGTAATAGTTGCTTGCCTTGGGTATCCCTTCAAGAGGAGTACCATGATGTCAGTGAAAGGCTCTCAATCCAGGCAGTTAGAGCTACCCTCCCTTTCCCTAAGTTCTGTACAAGTCCTGTGGGTTTAGCACTTCCCCTTTAATAGAATAATAATCGTAAGTGTTCTTGTCATCATTCATAGTAGAATTTTTCTAGTATGAATAAAGTGTTGTTACTTAACTTCTGTGGTGTAAGAAAAAAGATTGAGAACTACCTAGACATTAAATTTTTTCATGAACGACAATTGATATCGGTAGACATAAAGTAATGAGTGTAAAATGCCAGGTACTGTACATTATTTGTGAACCAGTTTGCTTTCTTTTGATAATTGCCATACAGTATTTCACAAATCATATTAGGTTTTTAATGAGTATTACAGTATACTGTGTCTTATATTTCAGATGGAAGATAGTCGTACTACTAGTGGGAGTGACAAGGGCAAGTCAGAGAGCATGTTGAAGCACTTGCTGTCCAAGTAATGTGACCCCTGCCAGTAGTGTCAGGTCACCCATGTGCTCATCTGTACGCTCATCTGTTTATGGTCATTCTATCCCTTTTGACCTGCCTGCTACCAGTCATTGCAAGTTGCAGGGTGTACCATGGTATTACTGTGGTTTCACAGAATGTACACTCCACTGTCACGTTTAAATTTTTATTATTAAATTTGTTGAACATGTGGGATTGTAGATAGTCTTGATTGTAGCATCTGTTAAAAGCCATATTTATCATATTGACGTTTGGTCTTGCATAGGCTGCCGATACTTTGGAAGTATCTATTGATTAAAATTTTTATTAATGTATCTCCATATTCAAAAATTTACTAGAGTTAATTTAACTATTATTTGAATGTGTATCATTTTTAATTTAAACCAAAATATCTTACATTTAACATAGAAAGATTATCAAGACAGTGGGGGTATATTTGCTCTTGTATAGGGTTGAGGGAAGCCAGTGTGATGTTTCAATGCCAGAGCAGTCCTGTGATTTAAACTTTTACCAGTACAAAAGGGGGGAATGCTAAAGTTTGGTGGGTACCGAGAGTTTGTGCATCTCTACTTCCCATTTACCCACGAGTAATGTGTACATGCTCCCTACCTTGCTTTTACCATTGATTACATTAAGGAAATTATTTCTCTTCTAGGTATATGACACTCATAATTTACCTCACAGTGAGAATACCTGCAATTCATTGAATAGCGAGTGTATATCTCATTGCTATATTTTTTGATTCTTCTCCACCTTAAATGTTTTCTCTTAAATTGCCACAGTGTGAACTTATTCTAAGCCTGGAATAAAAAGACTTCTGGGCATTTCTTAGCCACTATATTTTGAAAATTGTTGATAGTGTTTTGCCATCATTGTTGGCAAGGATATATGGCAGCCAGCCAAGGTAGGTCCAGTGAAGCTGCTTGTGGCACGTTAACTGTGGTTTGGTTCAGCCTTATGTGCAATTCTTACCATTGGGTTGTGACTTACATGTCTAGTGTACAGAGAGATTATTATTATATGAGGATGGTAACAGTTGCTGTTGTCAGACTGTTGTATACTATTGTTATGAATGTAAGTACAGTACCATTAATATAATTCACTTATATACAGAGCCTTACATACTCAACTCTTCTATACCAAAGGCATTAATTTAGATACACAGTGTACTTGAGGAAACTTCCCTAACCCCTGTATTTTCTTTGCACATCACCAAGTTGAATGTTAGATAGCCGGAGATGTTATCAAGATTAGAGAGTAAAATATCATGTTATAATGGTTTATTATTTTTCTATGAGAAAGTTTATTGAATATTTAACTGTTATTATACAAAGAAAATTAATTCATGTTGGTAAAGATATGATAACTTATTGTTGGAACACAGAAGTGACTGGGGCCAGCCTAGGAGAGAGCATGCCAAAGGATCACTGCCAGCCACTTGTGGTGCGAACGCGGCTGGGAACAACTTGCTCATCATTCACTTAATGGCTACTTGTGGACTGGCGTGAGAAGTAGCATGGCCCTTTGCAAGTGATGCACTCTCTGTATGTGTGTGTGTGTGCGTAGAAAAAAAAAGTGCTTTCTTGTGTGGTCATACCAGGACCTTTTAATGGATGTGGGAAAAGCTGGACATGGGCTGACCACTCCTGCTTCATATGAAAATATTGTTTTTATCTTGATCATGTAGAACCATATATGACAATGCCTTTAAAGCAGAGTTTCATTTAAATAAGCCTTCATTCAAAATAACACAGACATTATTATGAATTATGCTGAAGATAGACGGCTAGAAACTGCCGTGGTATATTGCCTGATGATTATAAACCTAAATATTTGTTAAAAGTGAAATGATTACCTCAGGCAAACCTGGAAAGTGCTCTTAAAATAGGAACTATGGAAAGTGGTGAAGGACAATACAGTATAATTAAAGTAATAAAGTGTAATTTAAGCATGCAGGAGTGGTTTATGTTTTAATTTGGAAAGAAATATGCGAGTGCTGGCCCCAGGACTGGTGATATGGTGACTTCTCAGATTTGTGGAAATAGTGACAGACTGAAGGTTGAGGATAGAAAATTCCCCTCCCGACATCTTCTGTAGGTATTTCAGAAGTGACCTAGTTACTCTTTAATTGAGAAATTGATACATAAGGCCTCCCATACAGAAAAAAAATTGTTGAAAGTATATTGATTTATTTTATTAATCCCAAACTATAGTTCCTCTGTAGACAAGGAGCCTCGGGCACTGTGGTGCCCATGTCCAGTCTTGTTTTCCCTCCAATGCTGGCACTCCAAGATTGGTCATATTTTGTAGAGTTTCAGCATTCAGTTGTATGTTTCATTTGGTGGAGTAAGATTTTTGTATATATATTTGTAGTGTGTAAGACAGTAATTATTATGTAACAGTTATGGAATCCCACTGGAAGACTGGCTGCTTCCCTCCAAGTTGCTTTTCATTCACGTGGGGGCTTTTGTCATGCCGTATAGTCTGTATTATCATTGGTTTCTGCAGCTTCATTGGTTTGCATTGGTACGTTCCCTGTACATTGTGTGTGTATAGGCAAGTTTCACCATCATTAAGCCACATGGCAAATAAAAGAGAAATGGTGTATTCCTGTATTTTTATTTTTTTAGTTTTTCCTAATAGTGTATATGCTAATATTCATTGTAAAATGAAAACTCATTAATGTTACACTTTCTGTAAAATTACAAGTATTTCTGGAAATGGATTGAAAAAAACATTAGACAGTTATCACCAGTGAAGGCAGTGTCATGGAATATTTTTTAACTAGTATTTTTAGACATTGCTTACACCTAACATTCTTAAATTTTATCCTCTGCTTGCTGTTTTTGAATCATGAAGGTTATTAGCATAAGGGGAAATTCTAGCTGAAAAAATAGATCTCATGTATGTTGGTAACTTCATGCGAGTATACAAATGAATTACAATACAGTACTTTTAAGCTCCTTAGAGTTACAGTATATCAATAATCTTTGCTTCAGCAAAAATTCTCCCAAAAGTTACCATGAAGGATAACTATGTAATAGTAATACATACAGAGGGTTCAGTTCTGACTCCCCTAATGTTACTATTGTACTCATTCTCATATAAAACCTGTAATATTAGTCATTGTTGAGGAGGATGCTCAGGATTGTCACCTATTAAGCAACTGTTGTTGCATGTGTTCCATTGTGAGGTTTTATACTTACTTGGATTAGCTGCTGACTTTTGAAATAGGTGGCCAACTGATTAGTCTGTGATTTTGTAGCTTATGCTAAGAGACTATATTGATTTTCCTAATTTTTCTGTAATTATTGTCTGCTGGGAAATTACTTGTTATTACATATCAGGTGATCCATGAGATTTTGTGATACCAAATATGTTTATAAACTAACAAACTGAGTAAGCACTGACCACAGTCTCATTACTTGTCACCTCTGTAGTACTCTGTGTACTTCTTAGTGTATTATCACTGTTTCTTATCTATTCTGGAATGGCTAGACTCATAATTGTAAAGTTAATGTGGAGCAAATTCTATGTCTTGAAATAGATAAAAAAAAAATAGATTAAATGTGAAAAAAGATAAAATAAAAGCAAGATTGGTAATTAAACAACTATTGAGATTAGTATAAAAACATACTTCGTATAAGAAATTTAAATTGACTGGTAACCTTGAAGGCCATACTGACTGTATACAGTTACAAAAAGGATTAAAAATGGTAAATGGAAATTTGAAAAAAAATGATTGAAGATAAACCAAAGATAATCCAAAAGAGTTCTTCTAATTTCAGGGAGATAAAAACAAGTGAAAGCAATATTATTAATATAATCACATTGTGCTAAACTTGTCAGGGTCATACAGTAATGCAGGGATGTGTGTGCAAGTAGATATATGCAAAGTTTAACTCTTAGACTGTGTTCAATGTACTAGTACACAAGTGCTGTCTGTGTGTTCAACATACTAATACGCAAATTTTCTTGTACCTTCAGACTGCCACCTGCCAATATTTTTGACTTTAGCACAATTCTTTGAGTCTTCTTCATTCTTTTCAGACATTTGAGAAAAATCTAAGACCAGGAGGGTTCACACAGTATATTGTGGTCTAACTACACAAGTGATGACTGTATGTCCAATATATTAACATGCCTAACTAGCAAAAGTAAAGAGATCAGGTGTTGTTCCACTGCCAGCTTCACTATCAGCAAACAGGTGTGCAAGTGGCACAGAGATAACTTACTCATACCAAATTTATTGCAATTTCATGATACCAACAGTGGAATTCAGCCACAAAGCACACTAAGTATATCTAACCCAGGGTAACCCAGTAAACTCAAACAATGTGACTTATTTCCATGTTTTGGTGAGTACTACACTCTGAAACAATTGTAATATTGTAATTATTCTTGTACATAACGTTAGAAGACCAAAATAATAGTAAAATAAGATAAAAATAATTATACTGTCTATGTACCGTATATTCCAGGTGGAGCAATGTCAGGCTTAGCATTTCTACATGTTTGAAGTGTTAAAACATCATTAAAAACATTTAATATAATAAGGAAATAGTGTACATAGTATTAAGCATTAAAAGTAATAAACACAAGAAAAATAATATTTTGGCATCAATAAATTGTTAAACGTAAGTACCACTGACACAACAAATATCAGTTTTTTCACCAATTTCAACACCATAAAATTGTAAGTTTTTATCAGTCTACTCAGTTTAGTCTTATTTGATTCAGAAAAAATACACTTTCATTCTATAATAAAAATAATTTTCTTATTTTTAAAGTCTTCCCACACACAGGAATTTTATTTAGGGGTATGCCACAGTTGAAGGGTTAAGAGGAATGAGGATAGGGGTGTGTGAAGTTAGGGGTTAGAGGGTGGGGTTAAGGCAAGAGTAAACTTAAAATCAAAGTTGGTACAATAGGTTAATTTCTGATAAAAGTCAGAGAGCTGGCAGCAGAGGTGGGACTTTCAGTGAAGAAGTCTGTGTGTATGCATTGGGGCAGTTTAGAAATAAAAAAATGGATCTTGCATGCACTCTGATAGAATAATCTTCTATATGTTGAACGAGCGATGTGACCCGACATTCCTTGTAGAGTGGTGTCTGTTGTTTCTTTATCTGGTATCTATGAATGAGTTATGTGTGTCCAATACACAAG